GGACTGCTGCCACTTAATTACCACCCAATCAAACGCGTAATCGAACTGAAATCCTTCCCTTATAAACAGCGCCCTGAACAACTGCCTCAGGTAGGTGTAATCCGGTTTCTCGTCAAACTTCAGCGATCTGCAATGACGGAAATAGGATTCAAACTCGGACGGGAAGTTCTTACACAGGACGTTGATAGGCGTCGACATCTTCTTGTCGCTGATCTTGTCATACTTCTGCTTCTTGGTCCCCGCCTTCAATCCCTGCCACGGCAGACTGCCGCGTAAGAAGTACATTAACACGTAGCCGAGCGATTCCAGGTCATCCCGGCGACTCTGCTCAATACCCAGATGGGTGTTGATGCTAGCGTAGCGCGCCGTTCCCGTCAGGTTCTTGTTCTCCCTGTAAGGGATGTGAATGCCGCCAAGAAGGTCGCGATACTTCTTGGCGAGCCCGAAGTCGATGAGAAAAACGGTATTGCTCTTCTTGCCCAAGCCCATGAGGAAATTATCAGGCTTGATGTCGCGGTGAATAAAACACTTGGTATGGACGTACTCAACGCGAGTGAGCAGCTGTTCGGCGAGCATCAGGACGGTTTTGAGCGAGAACTTGCGGCTGCAGTAATTGAACAAATCTTCGAGGCTGGGGCCGAGGAGGTCAAGCACCAGGACATTGTAATCGCCCTCCACGCCGAACCAGCGGATGCAAGGAATACCAGTACCGCCTTGAAGAATTTTGTACAGCTTTGCCTCGTACATAAGCTGGGGATGACGCGTCCTAACGGACTCCAGCTTCATGCCCACATCTTCATTCGTTTGTATGTTCGTCCCTAAGTATATCTCGCCGAAAGAACCGCTTCCGATTTTCCGGCGCATCCTATACTTGCCATTCACACGTGGCTCCATCCGTGACTCCGTCTCAACCACCTTACGCTTTGCTGCCCCGTTTCTCCAGGCGCCTTGCCCAACCTCTCTCTCTCTCTCTCTCTCTCTCTCTCTCTCTCTCTCTCTCTCTCTCTCTCTCTCTCT